AAATAATTAATACATTTATAAAAAAAATTTTTTTAAAGAAATTCAAAACATGCGTTGTGTCAATGTGTCTTTTATATGGGAATAATGTATAATAGGAAGTGCTCGAAATATTCAAAACTGTAGAAGTTTTTATGTTATATAAACTAGTTATATCAGCGAGCAATATTCAGCAAAATAGCAGCAAATCTGACCTTCAGGGTTTTCAGAGACAGGCACACTTCCTGTGACCTCTGCCCTCCCACTGAGCAGCTCTGTCAAACACCCTCCTCAGCGCCATCTGCTGTCCAGAAACAGAACAAGTGCGGTAATCTCTCAAACTGCAGCAAAAGCAAGGCCCGATTTCACGACGATCACACTTGGCCCTCCGTATATTATCCTGAGCCGCCTTCACGTCGCGATGTACAGTTACACTTCCACATCCCTGACGCCTCTACATGTCTACCTTCATCCCACAGCATTCCACGCTGTCACGCAAGTTTGTGGAGGTGATGACGGAGTACAACACCACGCAGTCCAAATACAGGGACCGCTGCAAGGACCGCATTCAGAGACAACTGGAAATTAGTGAGTTCTGAGACACATGCAACCCACGCGCACAAACACAAGCTGAGAAACAGCCTCCACATTACTGGAACGTGTATTTACTTTTTAAACACAAGTTAAGTGACAGTGCATTCAAGATATACGTTTTATCAGTAAACATATTACCAGTTCCAATGCTCATCAAAATGACCTGGTTCGCCACAAACTGATACCATGTTCTTCAAATATCTTTAATCAGCTGGCAGAACAACTACCAATGAGGAGCTGGAAGACATGTTGGAGAGCGGGAAGCTTGCTATCTTCACTGATGATGTAAGTTTAATAGCCACTGATCCTTTACCAAGTAATTTTACTATGACTTTCGTTTCCGTGGAAGAAAAATGTGTGATTTCTACAGCCACTACTGCCTTGTGGACTTCACACACTATTAAAAAATAAAGTTTTTTTTTATTGGTTCTTTATGGTTCCATTTTAGAACATTAGACGTTTTCACATTGCGTAGTTCTAGGAACTTAGTTCTAGGAACTAGCCAGCAGGGTGGTTCCAAAAACCAATTTCTCCCTCAGGCCATTTTCCTGGTTACATTCGCACCGGCCTCGGGAACTCTGAAGCGGCCGATAGTGACGTCTTTATTCGCGGCATTTACAAACGTCAACAACTGGTGAATGGAGGACGCCGCATTCTGAGCTGTTTTTGATGTTTGTTGTGGGTTTCGTGATACGTGATATAGATGGAATGTAAACGCACAATTTATGCGATTGAAAGAGCACGAAAATCTGACTAAGGCTACGTTTACACGACAATGATGTAGTCAAAAACGGAAAAGTTTTTCCCTTGCGTTTTTAAAAAGATTCACTTATACACAACAACGTTTTCAAAACGATTCGCGTTTACACATATCTGCGAAAACGGCCAAAAACGCTGTATTACGTATGCCAGGCCAGTAGTTGGCGCTGTCACCTTGTTAGTAAACAGTACCTGTAGGGAAGTAAAGATTATATGATGTATATGATGCATCTCCGCTGTTGGTTCTAATATTGGTGAAGTAAATCCACACTTTGCTGAAGAAGCATTAGCAAACTCTTGAGCAGCAACAACAGTCCGCCATTGTTGTGTATGTTTGTTCGCACTTGCCTTTAAAATCGACACATACTGCGCATGTATACATACCTAACACGTACTACGCACATGCATGACGTCACCGTTTTCAAAGATTCCCGTTTTAGGTGTTTACACGGAAACAATAACGGTGGCATTTTCAAAAACTTGCACTTTGCACTTTCAGTCCCCAAAACGCCGTTGTCGTTTTAACGAACAGGCAAAACCCATAAAAAGTTCCCCGTTTTTGGCTGAAAACGTTGTCATGTAAACGGCCCCTAAATCTCCTATGACAACTTGTAGTGTTATCATCGAGGCTGAGAAAAGAACACAACACTGCAGACATCAGGTAAATGCCGTTATCGCTGTTTTCCATGCTCGTGGAGTAAATATGTTTACATGGCTTTTTAAAAATGCCGGGTAGCCGGTGTTTCGTATGCGTTTGGTCTATCAGCGTACACTGCGTCACTGATAGTTCCTATAGAACTGTTTTAGACCCTACTCTGAAGTAGAAGGTGAATTAGTTCCCCCAAATGGAGTTCCTAGTACTAAATACATTCCTGCGGTGCGAATGCGCCAGAAGTGGGAACTTCCACCAATAGTTCTAGGAACTATGGAAAGGTTCCTCAGGTCCGAAAGCGCCTTTTAATATCCACAGAACCTTTTCATTCCACAAAAGGTTCTTTAGATCATTAAAATGTTCTTCACACTAAGAACAAACGGTTCTTTTGAAAACTGTTCTAACTAACTAAAAATGGTTCTATATGCAAATCACTGCAAAAACCCACTTTAGGTACCTTTATTTTTAAGAGTACAGATGTCCACATCAAATGTGCCATCCGGTTCCCATGTGAAGCATATTCAAATATTTCCTTACAACCTAGCCTATAGTCTTTAGGCATCTTTACACCTTGATTGCTCAAAATTCAGTATAAAGATGCAATGCTGCATCAAAGCCAGCCTGAATTATGCCTGCTCAGACCCACCTCAGCCCCTAGTATCAGGTATACTGTTGGAATTGCTGTGTAAATGCATTTGTGGCACCTCTGAGCAGCATTATACAGTCTGTGTAAAGACACCTAAATGCCGCTTCAGAAGCGCTGGTAAATTTGCCATTTTAGGAATGAATTCTGTACAATGTATGTTTAATAATAGTAACTTGCTCTTGACCTCCTGCCATGTTTTCAGATCAAAATGGACTCCCAGATGACCAAGCAGGCACTAAATGAGATTGAGACTCGACACACTGAGATCATTAAGTTGGAGAACAGCATCCGTGAGCTGCATGACATGTTTGTGGACATGGCCATGCTGGTGGAGAGTCAGGTACAACACAGAAAATTACACCTTTCACCACAGCAAAAATGACAGGAGGAGGAAGGAAATAGTCAAACAAATGTTAGCAGTGTTATCGCTTCACAAAAGTCCCTTCCACAAGACTGTTAAAGAGGCATACAGATGAGGGTTGATTTGAGATTTTCTTTTTATATTCACATTATCATGGCCAATACCAGAAGTATTTACTTAAATAGTCCACCCAAAATAAAAATTCTGTCATTATTTACTGACCCATATGTCACTGTGTGCAGCATTGCTAGTATTGTTTATATCACTATAGTTGTGTTTGTTAATATGTAGAATTTTAGATTTTCAGTTTTCATTTTAATTTTCTTTAAACTTAAATTAATTGTATGTGCTTATAGTAATTTTGTGTGCTTTTCTCAATTTTATTAGTTTTTATTTATTTTTTCCCTCATCTTTAATTTTTATTTTCGGTCTTAGTGCTTCAAATTATCTTCACATAAAACTATTTAAAATGTTGCCAATTAAATATTTTAATTTGTTCAGTTTTTTTGAAGTTTCATCTACTTTTTCTATTAATTTTTTCTTTACTACAGTTACGGAACACTTTTTTTTTTTTTTTGGTGGAACACAAAAGTAGAGTTTTTTTTGCCGTTTCCATCATTTTTATGAGTTTTTTTTTATTCCTTATCTTTAAATTTGATATCGGTTTTAGTACATCAAATTAATTTTTGCAAATTAAACATGAAATGATTTTGCAAATGAAACATTTTAATTTTTGATTAATTTTCTTGAGTTTCCCATCTAATTTTTATATTTATTTTATATCAGTTTTATTTCAATGATTGAAAACAAATTTTAATCATTTTAGTTTAAATTATAAATAGCACTACACTGCTTGCATGTTCAATGTTTTTTTTATTCATGCAACTCATTTCCATACTATTCATAAATGCCTCATCTATCAGGCTAAAAAAAAAAAATGATACACCATTGATAGACATTTATATACCATTTTAAAATTCTGTTTGTGAACACTGGCTAGACAAAAACTAGACACGTCCTTGAAGTGCACTGCGCTGCAAAGTGATGCTGACTTTCAAATGTAATTCACAGATAGCAATTTATTTCTTCCTCCACGACCAAGAACAGGTGAAATTATTTACACGACACAGTCCCTGTGTATCAATCTGGGGTTAAGGGCACTCAAGCATCACTGCTTGTGGGTTTTGAAATCAGGCTGCACGAAGCACAAAGAATTTAAGGGATCTTAACTTGCAACACTTAAACACAGAAGTATGTCTAACAGGGAACAGTCTTTGTGTGATTTGTGCATTGCATACAGTAATCGTAAATGTGTGCCTATTGTGAAGACGTTTGTTTGAAGTGCCTTGTTTTGTCATTCACAGGGAGAGATGATTGACAGAATTGAGTATAATGTGGAACACTCTGTGGACTATGTAGAGAGAGCAGTTTCTGACACCAAGAAGGCTGTCAAATACCAGAGTCAGGCACGCAAGGTAAAACACCGTCAGCTGTTACACCTGATGTCTTTAAGTAGTATGCCCTTTGTGTACAATGACTCATGCTCTCAGTGCCTTTCTAGAGAATGCAGTCATAAGCTGTCGAGTAATAGACGAGTAATAGAAGAGCATTTTAAAATTATTCCTAAACCCTTTAAACCATTCACAGAAACACTATATTGCTCCTTTGGCACTCATTGGTTCTTTAACAGATGCTGTCTGTTCCTAGATTTTTTGCTGCAGTTTTGCTGGCTAACAGCCATTGCAGTGGTGGTCTAAAGACTGCAGACTCTTGGTGTTATGCCACTTACTTCTGAGCTTTCTGATGAGTCAAACTGCAGAAATGGGGTGGTTAGATTCTTACCGGCCCCATAGATATTTGCTAATAGTGAACTGCTGGTGAAACTTAATAGGTACATCATTTTATCTAGTGTTAATAACTAATTTTAACAAATTAAGTCTTATTGTAAAGTATTAATAGATTAGAATTGTTAATTATGGAAGCCCCTTTACGCCATGAAGTAAAAACTAAAACAGGCAATTGCAACTTTTTCTTTCAAAATTGGTACTTTTATTTGTAGTTGAGTTTATATATCACAATTTGGACTTTGTTTCTCAGAATTCGAACGTTTTTCTCACAATTCTACGTTCATCTCTCGCAATTCTAACTTTTTTTCTCAGAATTCTTTCCAGAAATACAATTCTGAGTTTATGTCTCACACTTATGTCTCACAGGAAAAAAATACGAATTGTGTGATATAAACTTACAGTTGCAAGAAAAAAAAGTGGTGGAAACAAGCTTCAATAGATAATTGATCGATCTGCAATTATTTGCAGGTTATTAACTTGCGATACAAGGGGTCGCAATTCACTAGCCAGAAACTGCTGGGCAAATTTGATTGGCAATAAATGTCAATAATGACTGAAAATTAATATTTTTGTCAAGCTAGCTGGCTGCATCCAGGAGTACCATTTGACTGATTACAGTATGGTATTATTTCATTTGTCAGCAAAGTTCAAACAAAAGCATATGTTAAGATTAGTGTTAATGGTCTATATGTATTGTAAAGAACATGTTCTAAGTTTTAAAATGACGACTATTTTTGTCAAGTGTGTAGTGACTTTTTTTTTTTTTCAACAATAATTGTGTTGGTATTAGGGATGCATCGATCCGATACTCAGTATCGATATCGGCTCCGATACTGGCATTTTCTGCCGGATCGGGTATCGATCAGACAAGACCGATCTAAATCCGATATAGTGTTTATACTATTCTGTGTTATTGTTAAGCCCCACGAAAGGCACAAAAACATTATAAAGCACCATCATGTTTTTGTGCACTATATTTCAAGTGTTTTGAAGCCGTTACATAGTTTAATGTGAAGTATAGATGAATATTTAAGTCAAGTTAACGTAAACTCTTCTCCCCGCTGCGTCTGTCTGTCATCCTCCATTCAGCATTCAAACTGCGTGTCGCGTTCGGTTACTACAGTCAAAACGATGAAACTCTCTTCAAGAGCGCACAATAACAGAGATTTAAAACTGTTAAAAGAAAAGGCTCAATAAAATATCGCACAGATATAATACACTACGCAGCAATATCTCTTCCCTTTTTTATGCAGAGCACTGCGCGCTGTGACTCCGTGTTGCTTCAAGAGCATCATTCTGCGCACGGGATGCGCACAAGCGCTTTGTGCCGCTCTGTATTCATAGCTTTCAGTCACGTGACCGGCTCGAAGACTTGGAGGGCAAAACATCCATAGAACTGCAACACAAATCTGTCAATTTTCCATCTGTTTCCCAGTCACAAATATTTAGATCACCTCTCAAAAGAATAAAACAAATGTATGTGTGAACAAAATGCAAGTTTTGGCCATTTGCAATCCATATTAAGCACCCGCGGCAATATTTCAATCATTATACAGTGCGACAAAACGTTGTAAATACACTTAAAGTGCCTTAATATATTTAAAACATCAAAGATATTTAAAAGATCAAATTCAGTAATCACCATATTAATGATGCATAGTTTACGTAGGCAAGAAGATGAGGCCGGAATATGAACGCAATCCGCTTAATGGTTCAGTGTTTTCCTTATAATGGTTTTCTATGGGAAACAGTTTAATGTGACACTTTGCATATTGTGTTTATATTCTGGATTCATCTACTTGCCTGTACAAAATATACATCATCAATAAGGTGTTTACTGAATTTCGCCTTTTAATATCTGCGTTTTACTACTTTGCTACTTAATGCAATCAGCGTAATAATAACTGGCGGTCAGTGGAGCAAAGCTTCGTTTTGCCCTCCAGGTGGGCGTTCCTATAAGGGTGTGATGTCACGTGAAAACTATCAATTGGAGTCATACCCTTTCGTATTTTAGTTTTGCGCAATGAAAGATTATCAATAGTCTTTTTTGTTCTGTTCAATCAATCATATGTTGCTGCCTTCATTACTGTGCTATGCATTTAAAAGAAATGTCTTTTAATTTTATAGTATGTATTTTATACATATATATATATATATATATATATATATATTTAGGCTATTTGTTTTTCATTAATGTATTTTACAACAATACAAAGAGCAATGTGTAACATTTTACCAGATTTAGTCCTACAATTATTAACTTTTATTTGTTCCCCACTAAATAATGTTGTTTCACTAAATGTTTCGTTTAGCTTTAACGTTTTTATAAAATTATTGTGCACCCATGATTTTTCTAGAATAACTTTTGCGGCTGAATTATCCACTAGCCTAGTTTATAATAGTATTTTTTTGTCATAGATTATGATTATATATTTTTTTTCATTTGTTATTTTTCATTAAAATTAAGTTGTCTATATTTAGCAGATTGTGTTTAACACACACACACACACGAGTGATGATCAGGTCAACCCACAAAAGCATAGAAATTCTACATTGATTAAAAAAAAACTGCGCTGTATCGTATCGGATCGGAATTGGGCGATACTCAGAATTTTTGGTATTCGGATAGGATCGATTCTGAAAAAAATTGTATCGTTGCATCCCTAGTTGGTATGACCTGTTATTCGCCCCAAATCGGCCCATAAAAACAAAACAAAAACATTGCTTGGTCCCTTTACATGTCAGTTAGATGGTCACCAGAAAAAAACTTAAGTAGATGTTTCCTTGCTTCAACTTTTGTGGTTTTCTGTCTGCATGCCCAACCAAGCATTTCCATTTAGTTAATTTAGTTTGGCACACAGAGAGGGTTCAGTAATTTAATTAACTTTTAATTAATTTAATGATTTACTTTGGTAATGGTTTAATTGTTAATTGTTTCATTTAATGATTTAAAGTGTGGTTAAGATGAGGAGATGCTACTTAGATTAGCGGATTATCGCAACAGAGTAGCTAGATGAGCTAAATGAATTGTGGTTTCATTTGTTTACACATCTTTCTTTCTTTCTCCCCCTTTTTCGCCCTCTGCAGAAGAAGATCATGATCATCATCTGCTGTGTAATTTTGGGAGTGGTTTTGGCGTCCACTATCGGAGGAACCCTGGGCTTCTAAATGACATGAAGAGAGACAAACACTTGGAAAGCTGAGTGTTTTATCCACTTAAACACGAGATAAGGAAACTCTCGTAAAAAACGGGGGTTGGGTAGGGTAAAAATCGAATATTCAAAAATCAAACAATCAAAAAAATAAATAAAGGAGATGTTACGTACTAGTTGATTTAAATATATACAAAAGTGGGTTCAAATACAACATAATATTTACAAACTGTACATGTAAATGTATTGAACATAAAGCAGCACATGGGTTACTACCTGTAAAGGGATAAAAATCCATTTTTGTTTTTATTTTATTTTTTTTAGCGTTGCTTTCATTTTTGGGGGGGCCTCCAGGACAGTGCCAGCAACTGCTAAATTGTTTTCCGTTCCGGCAGAACATGGTGTTTGGCAAACCATACTAGCATTACGAATACTAACCAACTGACTGCATAGATATTATAGATAGTAGTTTTAGTCCGATTTCAATGGCCTAACGTTCCGAGTGGTTGCTTGCATTCAGATGAAATCTCTCATCGTTACATTATTAGCTCATCACCGATGAAGTGCTGTAGTTTAAAAGCTCCGTCAACCTCATAGCCGAATTTCTGTCTTAATACTTTTACTGCGGGCAACCGTAAACAAACGAAGATTAAGAGAACTAAGAAGCACACATTTCGAATTGTGAGAGGAAGTGATATCACCAAGTTTGTACATGGAAATGGTTTTGTTTTTACTTCATTTGCTGTAGGCAGTGAAGGAACGGACATTTCATTTGATCTCGTTTAGAAAGCTACACTGGGATCGAAAGGGTGGCATTGCGCAAACTGTTGAACTATGCAGTTTTGATAGTGATTTGCCCCTGCTTTTTTAATTAATTCATGAAAAGATTCTGAAAGACGATTTCTTATAAGGAACATTTTGAGAAATGTTAATACTTGAAGCAATGCCTAGCCTAAATATTATCTTTTGGAGGGTGGTTAGGTCTGCTGAAATTCATTTTCCTTATTTTACGTTAGTTTTGCACTTTTTTTATTTGCCTTGTTTCATAAATTGCATATATATTTTACATTATAATATAAAGGATGGGCTTGAACAGGACCGTTTTGGTTTTGAAGGATCATTTTGGGAGTTTGCTTGACGTTTCACCTTGGTGCTAGTTTATGAAGAGAGAGTAATAAAATTAACTACGGGGACGTGATAGACACTCTTAGATCCTTATTGTTAAATTCTACATATCTGAAACAATGGGAGTAGGTGCAGTGCAGATGAGCTATCTGATGAAATATTTGGTCACCAGAAAAAAACTTAAGTAGATGTTTCCTTGCTTCAACTTTTGTGGTTTTCTGTCTGCATGCCCAACCAAGCATTTCCATTTAGTTAATTTAGTTTGGCACAAGTCTCTTGGCACAATATAATATTAGCAGCTTCCCTCCATGACATTCAGTACATGCGCAGTTTCTTTTGGAGATTCCAGAGTTCAGTATGATGTTAGTACTGTATTTAGCCTTTACAGTTACTCAATATCTAATCACCACCTTCTCAAATGTAGTCAATGTTTGAACACATTTAGTATTCAAAGGCTACTATATAGGGCTACATCTCAGAGAGGGTCCTTTCATCAGTAATTTAATTAACTTTTAATTAATTTAATGATTTACTTTGGTAATGGTTTAATTGTTAATGGCTTCATTTAATGATTTAAAGTGTGGTTAAGATGAGGAGATGCTACTTAGATTAGCGGATTATCGCAACAGAGTAGCTAGATGAGCTAAATGAATTGTGGTTTCATTTGTTTACACATCTTTCTTTCTTTCTCCCCCTTTTTCGCCCTCTGCAGAAGAAGATCATGATCATCATCTGCTGTGTAATTTTGGGAGTGGTTTTGGCGTCCACTATCGGAGGAACCCTGGGCTTCTAAATGACATGAAGAGAGACAAACACTTGGAAAGCTGAGTGTTTTATCCACTTAAACACGAGATAAGGAAACTCTCGTAAAAAACGGGGGTTGGGTAGGGTAAAAATCGAATATTCAAAAATCAAACAATCAAAAAAATAAATAAAGGAGATGTTACGTACTAGTTGATTTAAATATATACAAAAGTGGGTTCAAATACAACATAATATTTACAAACTGTACATGTAAATGTATTGAACATAAAGCAGCACATGGGTTACTACCTGTAAAGGGATAAAAATCCATTTTTGTTTTTATTTTATTTTTTTTAGCGTTGCTTTCATTTTTGGGGGGGCCTCCAGGACAGTGCCAGCAACTGCTAAATTGTTTTCCGTTCCGGCAGAACATGGTGTTTGGCAAACCATACTAGCATTACGAATACTAACCAACTGACTGCATAGATATTATAGATAGTAGTTTTAGTCCGATTTCAATGGCCTAACGTTCCGAGTGGTTGCTTGCATTCAGATGAAATCTCTCATCGTTACATTATTAGCTCATCACCGATGAAGTGCTGTAGTTTAAAAGCTCCGTCAACCTCATAGCCGAATTTCTGTCTTAATACATTTACTGTGGGCAACCGTAAACAAACGAAGAATAAAAGAACTAAGAAGCACACATTTGGAATTGTGAGAGGAAGTGATATCACCAAGCTTGTACATGAAGATGATTTTGTTTTTACTTCATTTGCTGTAGGCAGCAGAGGAACGGACATTTAATTTTAACACGTTTCGAAAGCTACACTGGGATAGATAGAGTGGCATTGTGCAAACTGTTGAACTATGCAGTTTTGATAGTGATTTGCCCCTGCTTTTTTAATTAATTCATGAAAAGATTCTGAAAGACGATTTCTTATAAGGAACATTTTGAGAAATGTTAATACTTGAAGCAATGCCTAGCCTAAATATTATCTTTTGGAGGGTGGTTAGGTCTGCTGAAATGAATTTTCCCTATTTTACGTTAGTTTTGCGCTTTTTTATTTGCCTTGTTTCATAAATTGCATATATATTTTACATTATAATATAAAGGATGGGCTTGAACAGGACCGTTTTGGTTTTGAAGGATCATTTTGGGAGTTTGCTTGACGTTTCACCTTGGTGCTAGTTTATGAAGAGAGAGTAATAAAATTAACTACGGGGACGTGATAGACACTCTTAGATCCTTATTGTTAAATTCTACATATCTGAAACAATGGGAGTAGGTGCAGTGCAGATGAGCTATCTGATGAAATATTTACCTGTAGATGCATTCTTCAGTTCAATTGAAGAAACCTGTACGGCTGGTCAGGACACTTATTATGCAGTGACTAAATAGAAAGACATTTACACAAACTTTATATGAAATAACTTAAATTTAGCTCTGAACGCCCAGAGAGACGGCATATTGTTATGATAACTCTAGCTTAGAATAGGACGCTTCGATTTTGTCCAAAGATTATTTCTTAAATCAAACAGCTGCATCATGAATTCATTGCATCCTTTTCTTTGTGGACAGAAAGTGCCAGATTGGTTAATTATGTACTGCTTGTTTTAAATTCAAGGGCTAAAATTTAAAACCAAACTTTAGCTCTGTTTCTTTTTTTTTTTTCTTTTGATGAAGAATCCCTCTTGGCTTGATTCAGATTCGTTGCAATCTTAGAACGAACGCCCTTACCCTCATGTTCATGACTTTCGTGACATGTACCAACTCTGAAAGTGCACTCCTTTTCTCAATACGGACTTCATTTTCCATATACTGCTCATCATAGAATATATAACAGGAGCCCCCCACCCCATCCCGCCACCCCTTTACCTACCCAAAGCAAAGTAGTAGGGAACAGGAATGATTTTGGGGATAAATACTGTACACTTTTTACAAAGCCTGAGGCAGAGGGCCGGGACTATTTTGCTTTAATCATTCCAGTAACGCCCAGCATGTTTTCTTTGAAACTTCTGTGTATTTAATGTCGAATCACTTACATGTATGGTAAAATGAGGTAAATATGTATGTCGGTGTTGTTTTTTAGTAGACGATATAGCTGGAAGGCCCTTATTTGTTAACGCATGCAACTTTCGCTTTGTTAGTTTGCATGGCTCTCGATCATGTGTGCACTTTACAATCAAAGAAAACAATGTCGTATGCCGCCACATTTTTTAGGTTGTACCGTTTTCCGTTTTGTTAATATGTTTGTTTTTTTAATTTATGATGATTTATTATGACTCTCTAAGGGTTGGATGGGGGGGATTGACTTCATTTACTAGTTCTGCTGCCTATTTCATCATGACCCTAGCGATGCTGGAGTTTTACCGTGGTCCCCATGAATGTGTTCCCTGTGGATGTGCACATGAATACAAAAATCTGTTTGTTGTCGGGTATTTTGTTCCTAAACCACGTCCGTAGTGTAAAACGACGTATTTGCCCCCCCTCCTCGCCCTCTGGAAACACTCTGGGTACGAATCATTTTTGCGCATCTTGTTCATTTTCCCTTCCCCCTGATGTTTTCCCGAACTTGATTGTTGTGCTTAACTGGTGATGATATGTGAATTCTTTCGTAAGACTATTCTTTATTGTGAGTCGTGTGCTGCGGTGTCGAATTGTGCAACTCAAAAGGCCATGTATGCGTGCCCTGTCCCTTCGGCATTTTTTCCTTTTTTACGTACACGTTGCTGTATATGTGAGCATGAGCATTTGTGTGTGTGTGTGTGTGTGTGTGGTTGTGCGAGTGTGTGTGCTCGTCTGCTGTTGGAGCCCTCGGTCGCACCGGTCTCGGGCGCAAGGGGCTTCTCTGGTCTGCAGGTCTATGGTATGCAGCTCTAGCGCTCCAGTTCTGTGCCGACTTCATTCAAATGTTAAGAAAAGTAATAAGACTAAAAAGCCAAAGCTTTATGCGAGTACAGAGCATAATGTTACAGTCGACTGTATTGTGCAGTCCACCCTGCCCGTAAATCTTGTGAACTATCTTGCGTATACATTGACTGTTTTCAGTTCCACCGCTTTCAGCGACAAGGTTCTCGATATAAAGGTTTATTTATTTGTTTCTATTCATTCTGAACAATATGTATATGTATACTACACAAGCTTGTTCGTTTTAAAGCACTTTCTCCAAAAACAGCTACGTACAAAACAAATATCCCCCAACGATGTTCAAATGTTTTGTGTACTGTATGTTGTTTTTTTCTTGCTCCCCTCAATGATGCTGTTTATGTTACCATTTTCCCCTTGTTCAACTCACTTGCATTGCTTCCTCTGTGCTGGCAATACATTAGACGTAGACATTAGATCAGCTCTGGTTAAAAGAAAATGAAATAATAATTAAAAAAAAAAAAAAACTGTATACTAACACGGGCACAGATCTGGATGAAAGTTTCCTCAGTTGTCTTAATTTCATTTTTCAACACTGTTTATTGATGTTCATCACACAGACACTGATATGACCAGACAGCACTGGCATAACACAGCACATTGAGAAGGCATTTTGTAAATGAGTGAAAATTACAAACTATTATATATAAAAAAAAACAATGTACCTTTTAGAGCTTAACTGCATAATAGTCTTTTTGGTTGGGGTTGTTGAGTGCCTCATCACTGCAGGTGAATAAAAAACCCTTAAGCCCAATCCGCATGGCAAGCGAACGGCGACACAACAAAGCTAGAACACTTCCGCCGTGATCGACGAAGATGTCTGCTGCTATGTAGACTGCTTTGTAGATTGTAATGCTCGCTTAGTTTCCACATGTGCTTTAGCAAAGACTTTTACGTTAACTGATAAGACTTCTCGGTCCACGGCTAATGAGCGCCCAAGACCTGCGATCGTGATTTTTCTCAACAGCCCCAGCCATGATCCACCTTAATTTCATCCCCTTTTGTGTCATTCCTTTGATGTATATTCCCATTAAACTTTATACCAGTATTCTTGTTTCAGTGTTAGATTTAGAATGAGGAAACAGTTTGTGAAGAAGGTGCTCAAACTGTGATTTCAGCAAAATGATCATCAATTACAGAGAATGGCCTGTAATGTTGTGATAAAAACACTATTCTAATTAGAACGGGAAGATGACTGGATAAGGATGACATAATTGAATAATACCATTATCAAATGTGATGAATTATATCACTACGATGATTTAAAGAATCCCGAGAAGTTGTGTTATATTAGTAGTACTATTGAATGCTCGCGATTTTGTCAATCTGAACTGAATCTTTGTCTTGTAATTATTGTAAATATTTCAAAGAGAGAAAAAAATGACTTGCATGTCCATGTATAAAACTACTAAAATAGTTCCTGTCAAAGTTGTGAGGTTGATTGATTTTCTTGTTCTTTGCCCTGGTCGCAGCGATTTGCTGCCGAC